CCTGTAAATAGTACAGGAATATATATATATATATATATATATTCCTGTAAATAGTACAGTTATTATTTTGAAAACGCAGTCGTTCGTAGTAAACGAACTCAATGTGACAGTACATACTTTGATATAGTATTATTACTTACCTATTGCAAATCATAATGGAGGTAATCTAAGTAGAATATACATATATATATATATATATCTTCATCACTACTGATAATCCTAGCTGACATCAATTTCATGTTCAATACTATATTTTAATAGTCAAGGAAAAGAATTTCCCTTAATAATTAGTGGCTTAAAACTATTATTATTTCACTTACAGAGTGTCCTTAAAAGCACCTTCAAGTACTTTGATGCTTGGTAGCCCAATGCCATCTCAAAGCGATAACAGCAGCTTCTGTACCTAATATTGTCATAGAAGTAAGAGCTTGAAGACAACCCAAAGCGGCTTGGTTTTTATTAGTACGACTAGAAGCAGCTAAGCATGCCAAACTTAATAAAACCAAACACGCACCAGTGCATAATAGAGTCAGTATCCTAGATCTTAAAGTTCTTGTACTCCACATTAAACTAGACGTATGAGCGGCTGATACACCTAAAAGTCCCATGCCGTATTCTTTCCTATTAGCTTGTATATTTATAACGGCAGTCAGAACGGATAGAAATCCTGCTGGTATAGCAACACTTAAAGTATAACGAGTGGTATCTTCTAAACAAGCTACGGTTCCGAGTAGCACAAACAGTATACCGGCAACAATTTGCGTAACTCTTAGTCGTAATAAGACTGCTAATGGTCTGCAACCAGGTATGTTACCCCCCGTTTCGTCTGTTTGTTGTGATGAAGGTATCGAAGATGGTGCTGAACATCCTAACGTTCTGGGAACAGAATCCAATTGTATTCGAGCCCTCTTCTGATTTCCATCCTCTACTGTCTTCGTATCGTTTTCTTTATCTTCTTCATTTTCCATTTCCGAATCTTGATGTTTAGTAACATTAATTTGGCAAGGAGCTCTAGTTCCTACACAGACGGCTCCTTCCTTCACTATCACAATACTTCGTAAAATTTTGACTGATTTAGATACAACCACACACTTACATAATAGTAATATTGTTATATAAAACCTTTTAATTGCTGTCAAAACCTTTCATGTTGCAAAAGTAAGATGTTAATATATATTATAACAACTTGATGGAGATGTACTGTACTTAATTAAACAGTAAGAAAAAAAAATACACATACGTTACAATACCTGGCTAAATGTATGGGGGAAAGAATTGTTTTTAAAATCTTATCTCGGACGAAGCTTAAAACACATATTCTTCTTTGTAAAGTTAAGAGGAAAGTAGTTCGGATCCTTCCTTATCGACTACTTCAGACACAACTGAATGTGCATCTAACACGTGATCGATTACGTCCCTTACTTTTCCCATCATGCTTCGAGATATTTTTGGTAGTCATAGTAACAAGCGGGAAGTATAAGTTTATTTAGAAAATTAAATATTAAAATCACGAATATGTTTATCTTATAATGCAATTATATATTTATATAAACACGTTTATTATTAGAATTATTTACTATTAAATCATTTTATANATATATAAAAAATGGCAACATTATACTCAATAAACTTTATTGTCAGATACAGATGTTGTTTTTCAATCATTTGTCGGATATCGAAAACATATTTTAAATGATTCGATGAAAGTTAAAATACATTAGTTTTTAACTTCTTCGATTTTGATTTTCTGCGTGATAGAGACCTTTGATAACATCCATTTTCTCTTGTTCCTGATATCTAAGGTTGCCTAGGTAACCAGTTGCTGGAGGTTTAATGTAATCTGTTGATAAAAACCACCTCTCAGAATACAAGAATCAGTTATTGACTTCTCTTCTAGAACTTACGATAAATCGAAAATCATAAATTTATCCTTAAAAAAAAAATTGTTGATGTTTAGTACAGATATAGAATGAAACAGTTACGGCCATGTTTAAGAAGTTGCATCACCGAAATTCGATAGAGAAATATGATTTCGAATGCAGTTTAAGCTATTTATTACATTTTAAACGAAATTCTATAAATGCAAATGAAATATATTTCATAGATAATAATAAAATATATTCTCCTCCTCTTTATCTTTATCCTCCTCCTCCTCCTCCTCCTCATCCTCATTCTCCTCTTTTTCCTCCTCCTAACAAGCAAGAGTTTCTAATAAATATTAAATTATATGTAAAACTAGATCTATATTATAATATAAATTTATAGGAATTTTTCTATTTCATAAACAAGCTGTTTGTATACGATTTTATAAACTTTCGATACAAATATTTGATGGACATTTACAATTCATTCTCGAATTTTTTTTTTCTTATAAATTCTAAACATGTAAAGTTTCCAAACAGAAATCAATATCCTATTTTACAACATTCAAAATCAAACAGTACAATTTCTATTCAGGATATTCATGTAAATTATATTAAGATATTATCATTTTACTATATTATTAAAATAAGGAAATGATATAATTGTTATGATCTTTCTTTACAAAATAGAAAGATTAACTCAATTAATACGTTATTCCATTTAAAAATTTAATCTAAATTCCACTTTAAGCATTAAATAAACTGCTTGAATGAAGATAATTTAATTAATTCCTCTTAGGAATTAATAAGAGATTCTGTCTCTTAATAATATTGCGACACTATTCTAATCGGATTGAAAACTCTGGATATTATTAATCAAATATTAATTTATATTTTTTTGGGGGGTTTTTACTTACGGAAAATCAGTTTTTGAAATAAAAATTGGTTGATATTTTCCTGAAATTTTAATAGGAAATCGTTTATAATTTGCTTACTTCTTAATCAATTAATTCCCTAATATATCAACGTATTTCTTTCAACTGTAAACCACTCGAAATGACAGATAAACGGTTAACCAGACAGTCAGAAATAAATATTTTTATATTAAAAAAACATGTGGCGTAGTTTAGAACAAACAAGTTTAATTACAATGAAGAATTTTTTTTTTGTTTCAGTCATTTTAGAAGATTAATTACTTATAAAAGTTTAAGTTTCGTCAAATATTAAAGAAATTAAGATAAAGATTTAATGAAAGATAAAAATGTGAGTTAAGATTAGCTTCATCTATTATCAGAAAGTAATTTAAATGATAAGTAATACTGTAACTAAGCTCGTAAATACGATACAAAATCAAATATATAAATTACATTATTTGTCTTATTATTGTTAACATATGCATAAATGCATTGTACCTAAATATGGATTGAATATTGATTATTTTAGATTCTAGAGCATAAAATCTTATTGTAGAAAAGTTATTAATATTTTAAAATAAAGTTCTTCTAGTAAAGTAATAAGAGTAAGATTAATAGTCTTATAGACTTACTATTAATACTTTAAGAAAAATTGTGATTATGTAAAAATTACATTGTCAAAATAGCATCTTTAACTTAAATAAAGTTAAAATTGGAATTCGAAAGTATGCGGGTGGATAATACTGTATAAATAAACGTCTCTGACAACACGTAATTTATCCTGACTTAAGAAGGTCGAGGTTATAGCAAAGAATAGATAAATTTTACAAAAGTACAGTACAAGTTTCCCCTCAATAACCTAATTTAAGCATACTTTTCTCTTAAAAGAAATTTTTTTTCTCGATAACACAGAGATTAATAACAATTTAACATCGAGAATATTAGTAATTAATTGATATTCGAACAGAAAACAAATAATCGTTTGAATCTATACTGTTCTCTAAAAAAATTGAAAATGTAGTCAATTTTTCTATTGTAATTTCTATAAAGTTAAAATAAATTAATCAATAAAGTATTGTAATTAATATAAATGTAAGACAGATAAATAATAAGATACGAATTACATTGTATGATAGAATATTTTAATGTAATGTCCAATGCCATTTAAGTTTGTAATGGTTGAAGACTGATTGGAAATCTTCAACGAGTACATAAAATATAAAAGCAACTCACGTCGTTCATTCAACAAGTCTATTGGACTGCAGATTCTCCTGACTGGAAATTCTCTAATCTCTAAATGACCAAATTCCCTCTAGTAAGCATTGTACACAGTAACTAGATTATATTAACATAATAGTATAAGCAATCTTAGTTTAAAATACATTTATTATTTAAATAACTTGTAATTATATTACAGATTTGTAATATTAACAAAATAAATATGTATATACAGAACATAAATTTCGAATTTTTCATTGATTTTTCTGTAAAATATATTAGAATTTTAATTAATGAGAAGTATTAGAATAAGAATATTCTTTGAATTTAATTAACAAAATTAAATAATATATGTATTCACATTTATACCATTTACTTTAAATATTTTAAACATTACAAGTTATAACGTAAATAATAAAGTTTAAAACTTAAATAGATGTATTTCTCTGTAGATTTTTAAAATAATTACGTTAACAATTTTCCTATTTACTAACATATAACGTTAACATGATATAATACGACAAATGGTATCATGTTAACATCAAGCACATATAGAGAATGACATAGAAATTCTTCCAATCGCTCCCAAGAGTATGTCTTTCACGTTTAAGAGATTTTGGTTTAGAGAAAATACTTTCTACGTTAGAAAGTGCACTTACTCAAATGAAAATCCCAAAATCTTTCTTGCATTAAAAATTCTTAACAATTGAACACGTGAGATGTAAAATATACTTTTGGTTGCTAAGTAAACTACTCTTAATGTTTAAAAAAGGAATATATATATATCCCATTTAATAAAAGTCTACACAAGAGAACTTCACTCGAGAACCCAATAAAATTGAATTTATTTTTAACTGAATCGAATATATCAATCTTAAAATTACAGATAGAAATATTCAATTTAAGCATAAAAAGTAGAAAGAATACAAAACTCTTAGTGTAATTTTTTAATATTTATATTATTAGTCTGTGTTAATTACTATTGTGTTAACCTACTCGATAAAGTACATACAACGTATATCAAATTAATGTTTATTAGAAGGAATAAGATCCTAGACAAATGGTAAATTGCCATAATTCTAACGAATTCGTCGTAGCAACTGTTGTATACAGTTTAATGTTGAAAATATTAAGTCATTTAGGATTAGAGAAATCCTTCATAACATTCTTAATCTCTTGAGATGAAGAATAAACCACACCCATTTCCTAAATGAACTAACTTGAGAGTTTTAATCAAGAATCAATGATTAAATTGCGCCAATAATTCGTAAGAATTTGTCAAAAAGATTGTATTTATATATGGAATATATTCCGGAACTCGAACATAATTTTATTGGGCTACAATTTGAATAAATTGTAAGCTTATAAATTCCCACTGTCTGTCTATCTTTCTTTAATCTCGCGAAAGGTATTATATAGATGAAAGTCGAGACCAGATACAGTAATTTTAGGTCGCAAGAGACACCAATTAACTGTATACAAATTCCCGGTATAAAACGGAAGTGACGTGATTTTAATTCAAAAATTTTCCCCAGGATGGAGTTACGTAAATGACCGGCATAACTCTGTTGTTATCAGGAAAAGTATGATGTACAGGGGCAAGAAAGTAATTTGAAATGGGGAGCATATATTTCGAATTAAATAAATTAAGAATATAATTAAATTTTTTGCTCGTACACGTATATTTTTTAAGATTCTCTTTTTAAAAAAAACCTCAAGATTTTCAATTCCTTTTGTTTTTTTTAATAAAAAATAAATAAATAAATAAACGAATTTTCCTGGTAACCAGTTATATTTTTCAAATGCTTTAACCTTCTATTGCCACCATTTTACAACCCTGAAAGTTTTCTCCAGTATTGAACGTTTCTTTCACGTATTGTGTTGCTACAGAACGTAGATCACACACACACCAATTGTCCATAGATCCTTTGCCAAATTACTTAAAAGAAAAAGAAGAAATATTGCAAAAAAAAAGGAAAAAAATTCATTTTGATCACGATCTAGAAAACGTAATTATCGAGAGATTAACCCAAAGAAAATGATGGACAAACAGATTTAATCTGGTCATTTTCTTCCTCCATTTTCATTTCTCGAATGAAAATTTTCACTGCAACTAAAATGAACTGGAAAAAATAACAATAAAATGAAAAAAAAATTAATCTTTCAACAACATTAAGACGTAAAAATTAAATATTATATAAATATATAT